TCAAGTTACGAGTTAGGCATTGATTCTTTTGATATTACTGTTAGTTTAGCTCAAGCGGGGACTTTTGTATATTTGTGAGCCAATATTTTGTTAATTTATTGACCAAGTTTGATACAAAACTATTCTCTTATAATTATGAGAAATTTCAAAAAATGCCACTTTTCAAGTGCCACTTTACAAAAATGCCACACTTTTAAAATCTTTACAAAAATACCATTTTTTCAAAATTATTTTTTTTATATTATTTATATTTGAGTTAATTATGTTCTATTAGGATTTAGTTTTGAATGTTTATGGTGTTTTAGGTGTGAAAACATTTTTTAGGGTTTATAATTTTAAGATATAGGCTTTATAAATCTATAATTAGTGGCATTTTTGTAAATAAATACCCCTAAGTGGCATTTTTGCAAATATGCACACAAAAAGTGGCATTTTTGTAATTGCCCCTATAATTATTGGGCTATTTTTTTTTTATCAACCAAAACTATTAATCAAATATTCTACCAGAATTGGTTGCCCAAACCGGGGATTGTTATTTAAAGAAAATTCAAAAATTATAGTACGTGCAGAACGAGTTAAACAGTCCGTTTTTAAATTATTGGACTATTATTTGACAAATCATGTATCCTCATGACAATTATTATCTAAAAATCATATGATTTAAAGTTATGATTTTTTTTTTTTGGCTTCACCTACATAAACAAATCGTAAAATCCATGAGTTTAACTGTTTATTCTTTCTTTCTTTTCTGGAAACTCTTGAACTTTTTATTCTTTTTTTTGTCCATAGAATATTTTCTTGAAACAAGCTGTAATTTGTTTCACGGTGGCATTTAAGAATGTTGTTGCCTTCCACATGTGTGTTGATTTTACTATTGAGTATTAAATTAAAGATAAGTTACAGTGGAATCCATAAGCCGATTCTTCTCAAATCAGCCCAACCGATGAGTAAATGTGAAAGCGTTGAAGAAAAAACGTGATTGGTTTACAACCACTTTAAGACACTACCGAAAATTAAGACTCATATTAAGGAATAATTACTGAGCTAAAGAAAGGATTGTAGCATACTAGTTGTAGGAGTGGATAATCCAACAAAACAACAATTACGGTTTGGAACACACAAAATCCAAAACACTTTTCTTTAACTGCAATTTCATTTAAATGAACGTCAGTTACAGAGGAAGGATAAATCCCTAAAGGAATTCTTTGGAAAGAAAAACCTAGAAAAGAGAAGATAAATGATCAAAGTCCTGAAGAACTCCGTGAAACCTAGGAAAAATAGATAAATGAAAGGAAATGTT